TAATAAAGCTTGAATCAGTTCAGCTTTCCTCAGCAGAACTCCAGGTATGGACCTTGTGGCCCTCAGATATCATGTGTGATATTCTATGTAAGCTAATTAGAGGAATGAAGGAAATGTGTGCTTTCAGGTTGTTGAAGTAATTATAAAAAACCTGAAGCAATTAACCAGGATAGAAACCCAAGGATCACCCCATCAACCTAACTTACCTTGTACTTTTGATAAAACAGACTCTATCTAGTAAGTATCCACTCATCCTGGCAGAGGTAAAAGATTGCAGGGTTACAGTTTTCACTGATTACTGATGTAGCTACTCAACAGTGTGATATCATTCCATTGGTGAAAACAATTCATGTAGTCAGGTGTGGGCAAATAATCCTCAAGAGATAAGGCATGGTTGTTGGGATGCATATGTGAAATTTAACACCTCATCTGTTTCTTCCATTTCTTTTTTTAAAGCCACTGTCCACCCACTCATCTAGAATTATTGTTGCAGGTTTGCACAAACTGTCTATCCATATATTACTATATTTTAACTCATGGAATGTTTATCTTTTATTTTATTTTTCTTATCAGCTGGGTTAGATTGAGATGATATGTGTCCAAATGAGGCAACCAAAAGTTATAGCACCTGCTTTCCTCTCTCTACATTTTATATTTCACATTTTGAGAGACTAGGCACATAAGAAGGGGAGGATATGGAGGAGCAAGTGACTATATTAAAGATACCTCTGAATCTCAGATTTTCTGTGAATAAATTAGTCATTCTTGACCCACTATATTGTGATTATAGGACTTGTTGATTACAATTGCATATCCTTGCTTGAACTGAGTACTTCAACCACTCTTTTTTTTTTTTTTAATTTTTTGACAGCAGAGTGGACAGTGAGCGAGAGAGACAGAGAGAAAGGTCTTCCTTTGCCATTGGTTCACCCTCTAATGGCCGCCACGGCCAGCATGCTGCAGCCGGTGCATCTCGCTGATTCGAAGCCAGGAGCCAGGTGCTTCTCTGGTTTCCCATGGGGTGCAGGGCCCAAGCACTTGGGCTATCCTCCACTGTCCTCCCAGGCCACAGCAGAGAGCTGGCCTGGAAGAGGGGCGACCAGGACAGAATCCAGCGCCCCGACCAGAACTAGAACTCAGTATGCCAGTGCCGCAAGGTGGAGGATTAGCCTAGTGAGCCACGGTGCCAGGCTCAACCACTCTTTACTATAAGCTTTTATCATTAAAGTTATTTCAAAAACCAGCAATGATATATAGATCTTACTTTGATGCCAATACACTGTGCTAGAAGGACATATAGAGTTCAGTTTCTCATTTTAACTTATTTTTAAGATTTATTTATTCATTTGAAAATCATCAGAGTTAAAAAGAGAAGGTGAGAGAGAAAGAGACAGATCTTCTATCCACTGGTTTACTCCTTAAATGGACACAAGGCTAGACTTGGGCTTTATTTGGGTCTGTCATATGGCATTAGGGGCCCAAGCACTTGGGCCATCCTCTGCTGCTTTCTCAGGCACATTAGTAGGGGGTTGGAGGGGGAGCGGAGTACCCAGGACTCCAATTGTGCCTGTATAGGATACCAGTGTCTACCTACTACACCACAATGTAGACCATTTAAATTCTTAACAAGGCTCACTGATGTTACATAAACAGTACAATGAATTCACAATAGAAGTAATCAATATAACTAATGATCAAATTCCAGAAGTTTTTTGCCATCAATAATTTACTAAAATAACTGTCCTTGAATTGTGAAGAAATTTCTGTGTCTACAGAGTAATTAAAATGTCAATAGAAATTCTTTTCATCATGAAGAAATAAAGGCAAAACATATGGTAGGTGCCTGTATACATTTGTCTTGAAATTTGTTTTTAATAAATAATCTCTATATCTTAACTTACATTTCTACTTTGTGCATATTTGACTATTTTGAACAATTAAGCACACACACATATAACAAACACAAAGATTCATACATCTTTTCTTTCAGAATACATATCTAAATCTCATTTCCTGACCATATGAATTTAAGTCTCCCTTTTTTTCTCTTGGGGAGATAAATACGGCAGATACTCTTAGTGATTTATTTCTTGTATATATATTTATTTATATGAAGGGAATACATTTCACACTATTCATAGTTGCAGTTTTATGAATGTATTGATACTTCATTCACAACATACCCTCCTCCCTCACTCACTCCCAATATATATCCTTCTTCCTTCCTTATTTTTCTTTTAATTTTTGCAATGACATATTTTGAATTTACTTTATAATCACCAGCTTAATCCTCCACTAAATAAAGAATTCAACCAGTAGTGAAGAGAAAAAACCACTGTCCTTAGTAATATATAGAGGTCTGTAAACAGCAATAAAATCTCAAAATATCAATTTCACACAAATACATTACATTTTTGTACTTTTTTATACAATTTACCACAAATCAGAGAAAACTTTGGTATTTGACTTTTCGGTACTGGTTTATTTCATTAAGCATAATGGTCTCCAATTGCACCCATTTTGTTGCAGAAGACAGAATTTCATTCTTTTTGTTCCTAAATAGTACTCCATCATGTGTATATGCCACAATTTGTTTATGCAGCCAACACTTGATGGCATTTGCGTTGAGTCCATATCATAGCTGTCATGAATTGAGCTTCTATAAACATGGGGATAGGGATAACTCTTTCATATATTGATTTCATTTCCTTTGGGTAAATTCCAGGAGTGGGATGGTTGGGTCATATGGTAGATGTATTGTCAGATTTCTGAGGAATCTCCATACTGTCTTCCAGAGTATTGTACTAGTTTACATTCCCACCAACAGTGTATTAGGGTACCTTTTCCCTCATATTCTTGCCAGCATTTGTCATGTTTCTTTTATGTTTGGATGATAACCCTTCTAAGTGGAGTAATATGAAACCTCATTGTGCTTTTATTTTGCATTTCCCTGATGGCTAATTATCTTGAGCATTTTTTCATGTGCCTATTCATCATTTCTGTTTCATCCTTTGAAAAATTCTTGTTAATAGTGATTTATTTAATATGCAGCCTCCCTTGTTCTTTCTTCCTAATAGAATCCAAAAATCATTTAATTGACTCAAGGTATGTTTATCCTACTTCTACCTACTCCTATTTCCAGTCATAAATTCTTTTGTTTTTAGTTTTTTTATTTCTTAAAATATCTTATTTGTTTATTTGAGAGGTAGAGTTACAGACAGAGAGAGGGAGAGACAAAGAGAGGATTCTTCCATCCCCTGGTTCACTCCCAGATAACCACAACAGCTGGAGCTGAGGAGATCTGAAGCCAGGAGCCAGGAGCTTCCTCAGGTCTCCCATGTGGGTGCAGGGGTCCAAGCACTTGGTTATCTTCTACTGTCTTCCCAGGCCACAGCAGAGAACTGTATAAGAAAGAGGAACAGCTGGGACACGAACTGGCGCCCATATGGGATTCTGGTGTTGCAGGAGGCTTAACCCACCATGCCACAGCACCAGCCCCAAGTCATAAATTCTTATTACTCAAAATGAATTATGATCTTCCTCAGCCTAGTACTTATGACTGACTTAAGAGTATGATTGACACCTATGTGTGCTTATCAGACACAAGACACTATCATCTGAAGGTAATATGAGTAAAATTTCTTTGTTATACTGAATAATTTGAACATTGTTTCATTTCAGCACACTGGATCTGATGTGTAATACATCTACAAACTAGTTGATAACCAACTAATGATAAAGACAACATTGGAATTAACAAAACTATGTCAATCAGAGAGAAAAAGAGGGAACAATAAATAATTATACATAGATCATGCTTTAACCAAGCATGTTTTATGTGAATTTTAAAATGTTTGACTGTTCCAATTACTTTTAGTCAGGATTCTAGGATGCTTGCATTATGACATCACAAGTAACAGTTATAAGTGAACTTATTAAAATACACTGAAAGTAAATAGATTATTTTGTGAGCAAAAAACATTGATCTTGTAATGAGAAAGCCCACCTTTACTAGTGTTGTTAGTCGCTTAAATTCTGCCAAATCTTAAATCTCTCTAAGTTAAAATACAAGAACTCCATTATAGGAGTTTTATAAGCATAATATTTACAATATCTGAGGAAGTAAATATACTATGGTTCCTGGCACATGTTTGAAACAAAATAAATTCCTGTTTTTAGGTGAAAAATGACATTTTATTATAATAAAGAAATGTTCCTAAGTTACATCAATTTTTTTCTTTTAGGAGAAAAATACATTGCATGTTTTAATGTAAGAGATGAAATGCAAGCACTAGTAAGAAAAACTAAAAAAAAGGCTAATGAGTTTGTTATAGTTTTAACTATTCAGCACGTTCTTTACTTATTAGGAGACAATGAGTAAATGAACAAATTCAAGGAATTTCTTAACTTGAATACTAAATAATAAAAATATCTTGATGACTTTGAATTGCAGAAGAAAATATATTATGAATTAATGTATAATACTGAGCTCTTCTTATCTTGCTGGCATTTTCATTCCTTTTGTAAGATATAATTGACTATGTTAAGACTTAACTTGTAAGAGACTTATATTTAAATATAAACTGTCAGATACTCTAAAGTAAGACAGTTACTAAAAGGGATGTTCAATATATTATATACTCTTTTATCCATGAACTTTTAATGAGATTTCCTTGGGGCAAGAGAGACACATACTCTAACTTTGTAAGGAATGCCTGAATATGTGAATATGTACTTTCCATTACTGTGCAAGAGAATAATATTATAACCATTTATATTCCTAAAATTAAAAAAAAATGGAATCCTGAAAGTATTGTAATTCTGACAGAGGAATTATACTCTAGCATAATACCCATGTCTCATTTTATTTCTTTATAAATTAATGATATTTTCTTAGAACTACAAAGACCCTGAACTTTAGTAAGAATTGAGCAGAATTACTGCAGTAATTTATATACTCATTAAATACTTATCTTGCATTTCTTTCTTTTATGTTGTAGTTTGCTTTTGTTTTCTATACCTTCAGTGGCGTGAGGTAGAACGAGCTCCTTTGATTGAAGGTAAGGCTTGATATACCCATTCTGTATCAGAACGTGGCTGGCTTCCTATTTTTTCCTGTTCTTCCTCTGCTGATAAGAGAAACACCTTAAAAAGTCCAGGACAGAGGCTCTCACAATTAGTGTACATAGGAACCACATGACTAATTTGCTCAATACTGAGATACACATGACCTGCCTCTACATACTTTGATTCAATAACTGTGAATATATATTTTATGTATGAAATGCCCTGGTGTAAATTTTATGATTTCCAGAATGTTTTGCATTTTTGTGATTATTGTTGTTTTAATAAAATAATCACAACTTTTTTGAGAACAAAAGTATTTATTCTGACATGTACAATGAACAAACTTTATAAAAATAATTAGAAGCTATTACTAGTATGTAAATTATTTTATTTAATTAATAATTATATCATTCATCATATATTTAAAATCAACAATGTAAAGCTAAGTTACAAATAAAAATGGTAGTGCAAAGTAACAAAAAGTTTGAAATTGTTAGAATTTTTCATTAAACATATACACACTCAGCATGCATGTTTTTATTATTTGGTTATGGGTTTTCAGTTAGAAAGTAGATTTCATAAAATAAATAATTGAGGGGGGCTGGTGCTGTGTCTCAGCAGGTTAACTCCCTGGTATGAAGCGCTGGCATCCCTATAGGTGCTGGTTTGAGATCCAACTGCTGCTCTACTTCTGATCTAGCTCTCTGCTATAGCCTGGAAAAGCAGTAGAAGATGGCCCAATTCCTTAGGCCCCTGCATCCACTTGGGAGACCTGGAAGAAGTTCCTGTCTCCTGACTTTGGATCGGTGCAGCTCCAGCCATTGAGGCCAACTGGGGAGTGAACTATAGGATGGAAGAATTCTCTCTCTCTCTCTCTCTCTTTCTCTCTCTCTCTCTCTCTCTCTCTCTTTCTCTCTCTCTGCTTCTCCTCTTTCTGTGTAACTCTTTCAAATAAATAAATAAATCTAAAAAAAAAAAGGAAGAATTGGTAGTAGGTTAATGGCTGTGCTAATTTTGATTTCTAAACAAATGAATGTCCAGATTGTCTCTACTGTAAACTCGGGCTGTAATTTGAAAGAGTGTTTTCCTCCTTCCTGTACCACTAAGAATCTTCATTCAAAAGGTAATCTATAGGATATTTTTAAAAATATTTATTTTATTTATTTGAAAGACAGAGTTACAGAGAGAGGTAGAGACAGGACAGAGAGAGAGGTCTTCCATCCGCTGGTTCACTCCCCAGATGGCTGCAACGGCCGGAGCTGTGCCAATCCAAAGCCAGGAACTAGGAACCTCTTCCGGTCTCTGACACAGGTGCAGGGGCCCAAGGACTCAGGCCATCCTCCACTGCTCTCCCAGGCCATAGCGGAGAGCTGAATCAGAAGAGGAGCAGCTGGGACTAGAACCGACACCCATACGGGATGCTGGAACTGCAGTCCAGGACTTTGACCCACTGTACCATAGTGCCGGCCCCCATAGGATATTTAAAATACTCTATTCAATAAGGTCTATTTAGATGGGATGTACATCAATGTAGTTCTGATATCCTACAGAGTAAAAATTGTAGATAAATGTAATGAAAGAGATTTTTCATTAACCTCTTATATCGCAAATTTTCTACTGTTGAGTGAGTAGTAGTTAATGTTGCTATGTTAAAGGCAATAAGAAATCTTATAATTTCCTTAACAAATTGGAAAAAGTAATTACATTTGAATGGTAACAAAATTAATATATAGGATGTATTTGTAAAAAATGTATAGTGAACATTTGTATAGTTCAAAACCAAAAAATTACATTGTTTGCAAGTAGCATTTAGTTTAATATGCATAATACAATCATAAAAAGAATTATTCAGTAGTTGGTAGGGCTTAATGTGAACATATTATTTAGTACACATTTTTCAAAGAAACTGAATATTCATAGTGCATAATTGTGTATGCAATCATTCATTAGTGATAATCTCTACATTTTAATTATCTGAAATAATCACAATACAAAGCCCTGCAGATTCAAGGTTTTAGGCTGAATGCAGAAAATAATCATAGGACACCTTGAACACATATTTTGATTCATACAGACATGGGTACTTACGGGAGTGTCAATCAGAAAGTAATTACAATGAAATTCTTTCAAAGATAAACACTTTAAAACCATTGTGGTGGTAAATTTATTCACAAACACTATTTGTTTCTATAACATACGTTACACAAATTTATATTTGTACATGCCACAGATTGCTAGGCAGTGAATTTTTAAAGGCTACTGAACTATTGATTCTTTCTTATTACTAGAGACATCATTTCATGAAGTATCACTCCATACAAAGGCACCAGCCTTCCCCTACAAACTGAAGAGTGACACTTTTTTTTAACAAATAAAGCACAACCAGTTCATAGCGCCACAGTTTAGATGAAAATACTGAATGGCAGTAACAATAAAAGTAGAGTTTTGGCCGGTGCCGCAGCTCACTAGGCTAATCCTCCGCCTGCGGCACCGGCACCCTGGGTTCTAGTTCCAGTTGGGGCGCCAGTTCTGTCCCAGTTGCCCTCTTCCAGTCCAGCTCTCTGTTGTGACCCGGGAGTGCAGTGGAGGATGGCCCAGGTCCTTGGACCCTGCACCCACATGGGAAACCAGGAGGAAGCATGTGGTTCCTGGCTTTGGATAGGTGCAGCACGCGGGCCGCAGTGCACCGGCCATAGCGGCCACTTTGGGGGTGAACCAACAGAAAAAGGCAGAACTTTCTCTCTCTCTCTCACTGTCTAACTCTGCCTGTTAAAATAAATTAAAAAAATAAAAGTAGAGTTTTAGGAACTATTACAGAAGAAACTAAATAGACTAAGAACACAACAGAGGCAAGAAAGGCCTTCACATAAATAAACAACATAGCACGTGCCCTATTATAGACAGGGCATCATCTGCTTATGGCAATAGATATCTAGTTAGAGGTTAACTAACAAAACAGAAAATACAATGGGAGTATGGTGAGGAAAAGGCCATAGGATCCAGAACTCTAGAGAGCTCAAAGTTTTCAAAAACCTTAAGAGGTACATAAAGTTAATTGAAAATATATCTTAGTAAAAAAATAAGAATTGGAATTGGAGAGGGAGGAAGAAGAAGGATGGGAGTACAGGTGGAATGTGTGGGGTAGGTTGAGAAGATTCCTAAATTTGTATATATGAAATGCATGAAGTTCACATACCTTAAATAAAAGATTTCTAGGCAAAAGAAAATTTAAAAAAAAATACAATTAAAAAAATAAAAAGATTGCACTATGTCTTGCCATTCTCTCCTAGCCTGTAGAGTTTCTGATGAGAAGCCAGCTGTGAGTCTAATTGGAGATCCTCTCAAAGTAAACTGGAATTTCTCTTGTGCACATTTTAGATTTTTTCTTTATGTTTTACTCTAGAAAGTTTAAGTGCACTGTGTAATAGTGAAGATGTTTTCTGGTAATGTCTATTAGGAGTTCTATGTTCTTCCTGTACTTAGATGTCCCTTTTTTACTCCAAATTCGGGAATTTTTTTGTAATTATTTCACTAAATAGGCCTTCTAATCCATTCTGTCTTTCTACACCTTTAGGAGCTCAACATTCTTATGTTGGGTTGTTTAACAGTATCCCATAAATATCCAACACTGTTTTTAATTTTTCTGAGTCATTATTCTTATTTTTAGTCTGACTATAAAATTTCCAGAGGTTTGTCTTCTAACTCAGATATTCTTTCTTCTGCCTCACTGAGTCTGTATTAAAGTTTTGCACTTTTTTTTATTTGTTGTATTGAATTCTTCATTTCTAATATTTCATTTTGACTTCTCTTAAAATCTCAATTTCCTGGGAAAAGTGTTCACTCTTGTCATGTATGGATTTCTTTAACTTGTGGATTTACTTCTGATTGCTTCTGAGTAATCCTAGGATTAATCTTCTGAAATCCCCAATCTGGCATTTCATCAATATCTTCATCTTCACATTCTAGTATTGAAGTGTGTTCCTTTGGGGGTGTAATGTTGTCTTCATTATTCTTATTTCTTGAGTTTCTGCGTTTTATTTTTAGGCATTTATGAAGATACCTGGTTTTTTGTCCTCTATGGATTTATCTTTGGATTTTGTCTTTTTGGCTTAGTGGACTGTCTGCTCTTTTAGTGAATACCCATAGGTATATGCTGGGTGTTGCACTGTTCAGTGCTTTGGCGGGGTGAGGGGAGGTGTTCCAGAGTGACACCCAAGTTGGGCATGGTAGATCTTTTTCTTTTTCTTTTTTTTTTTTTAATCAGAGGGGAGGGCTTCATCAGCTTCATCATCACCTCCTCTTTTCCAACGTGATTATTGCCCTGTGCTAGCCCCAGTGGGTACAATATTCACCCTTGCTGCCACAAGAACCACACAAAGTATCTATGCAATCCTCAGCATGAGCATGGATCCCACTTCAATGACCCAACTCAGGCAATCAGGGAGCCCTGAGTGTGTAGAGTTGCTCACAGTGACTGCCTAGCGATCGCACCACACCCTGCACCCTTTCATGCAGCCACAGTGCTTCTACTGTATTATCACACAAGGTTCCCACTGTCACCAGGCACCAAGGATCCACTCCACCCTGCCAGTCTGTCCAATCCCAGAGTCAGCTGCCATTGGGTTCTCCACCTAGGCAGTTGTAGCACTAAGGCCTCTGATATGTTGGGAGGCTGGGCACTATATGTGTGCTCAGCCCTCCCAGCCAGATTCAGGAGTCTGCTCTTGGCTGGTTGCTGTGGGGGGGGGACACAAGCTGGCACAGCTATTATGTATGTCCAAAATGGTAACTGCTGCCTCTCAGCCAGTTGTAGGATACTATTGTTGGAGGAACAGGGAGAGGGAAATGTGACCCTTTTTTTTTTCTCTTCATTGGCAGGTACCCCGTCCCCTCCAGGGTTCTGGACCAGACTCACACCAGGCTCTCCCTGCAGCTATGTGGCTTGAATTCTGCAGTCTGCTCTCTCCTCACTCTCCATAGCTGGTGTCTGGGC